TCTCTCAATCATCCACTTTCAATCCATCGCCATCCCGGGGTTTGTGAGACAGCTTGGCGATGATGCCAGTAAAATGGGATCAATAGCATAGGGAAAAACGGACCAGACAATCTCTTACCCCCTTGAACTTCTGTACCCGTGATTGATTTGTCCCCTGCCACAGCACAGGAGACATTAGACGAGAAACGTGTGTGACCATACGAGTGTGTGCGTGCGTGCCCGTGCACCTGCATACGTGTGTTGAAAGCATGTGTTTCGTAAAAGTCTGACTTGTGTGTGTGTTTGCGTAGGTGTGTGTGTGTGCTCAGTGATTGATGATCTGAAGCGCACACACATCATCAGCAAGGCATTTGCGAGGTGTGTGAGTCAGGAGCTGTCATCCCCCTCAGTCTCCCCAAGCAGAGGCCTCGTCTGCTGATTTATAGTAAATCATTAAAATCTGCTTATTATTGCAGCAGCTCATCACCCTCCCCCCCCCTTTCTCAGTCCCCCATAACCAGCCCCCCTCCCCATTTAAAACTTGCCACACCACTGCAGAGGCACACCGAGATAAGACTATACACGCAGAGTGATGGTCAGCAGATTCTGGCACATTAAATCCATTCTGACGCCTGTTTGAAAATAAATATCCCAGATGTCTTGTTTCATAAACATCGGCTGAAGAAGCCAATGAAAGAATCTGGCCGTGTTCCTATACAACAGCTGGAGCCGAGTGGACATATCTACCCACAAAAAAGAAAAAAAAGAGAGACGAAGAAACTTTCTTATGGGTTCTCATGCTCACTTCTGCATAAATACACACATGCAGACACACACAAATCTGCACACCTCTCCTGTCTTCTGTCTTTGAATCTGAAAATGTGATGTGACTTGAACAATGACAGGTGTGTTTGTCAAGGATGTGGCTGTCACTTCAAATCAATGGACGAGAGCATCTTCCCAGGGAGACTTTCCACTTCTTGGGGTTTGACTGGTTACACTGCGCTTCGGTGCAGATTGGAGAACAGTAAGTTGTCAAAGTGGCATTCAGGGAGCCTTGCTTGGGTGTCATCAAATCGAATAAATAAATAAATAAATAAATAAATAAATAAGCTCATTTCAGTTTTTAGTTCATCAGGAAACCGCGTATAGGTTCCGTTGGCCATTATATACCGACTCATGTAGAGAAAAAGAAAATCGTTACGCGGGTGTCTATCCATCTGAAGATCGTTAGCATGAGCAAATCCGAGAATCACTGTTTTAAAGATGTACTATTCGAGGAAGTTGTGTAGGGCACCGAATAAAATGATGATAATCATTTCCACTGAATAACAAGTGAGAATCACAGCTTGTCTATTGTCGCTTTGCGGTGCGTGGTTTGTCAAATGCGTTTCAATTATAGCCTTTAACTTGAGGCACTATCACATCCCCATGAAGTGATTTTAATGGAGTTTGGTGCAATTGTTTGTTATGCGAGACAGGTCTTTTCAGCAGAAAGTGAAGAAAAAAGTGAAAGGGAAAGAGAGAGAGGAGGCTTTCGGTGATAACCGCCGAGCGGGGGAGCACCTATGGACTCCGATCGAGTCACTTCATGTCACTAGTATTTAACTGTAAACATGTACTGAGAAAGCTTTACTCTCCTGCACGTAAGCCAAAAATCCAAAACACGGGTGCTGGCATCTGATTTGCCAGATTCAGCATTCCTGCTGTCTCCAGCACCCCCAATCAGTCTGTCCTGTCCCACTTTTTCTTCCCCCTCCTTCCTCCCCATCTTTTTTTCCTCCCTCCCTGATACAGTATAACAGCCTCCTCTCCATTCTGTCTCTAAAGCTGCTGGATCCTCAAAGCACAGGTGCAGGACTGCCGGGCTACAGCCCACAGGCCCTGGATGCTGAAACAGGAGAGGCGAGCCGGCACACATGCAGAATTACAACGCCTCCATTTCTCACACTGACATAATCCCCATGTTTTATTTGTCCCCTTGTAATTCTTTTTATATCTTGGGCTTATGTTCTTTGGCATCCATTCAATCCCAGCCTCGGGACACAGGGCTCTACCAGGCCCATATGTGTGCCTTGCTCCACTTAACGCATATTAGTTCCTTTGTAACTGTGACTAAACTGGCATGTCTCAGCTGGGAGATGTGCCGGCTTTGACTGACAGTCCATGTCTGGAGCCTGTACTTTGAGTCTCACGCAGACTTGTCAAACACGGGCTCTGTCAAAGCATCCTTCACTCTGCTGTCAAGCACAGGAACCATGGAGAGCTGCAGAAGGTTTGCAGCTCCAACCACAGATCTCTAATTTACCTTATATTCTATATATGTGCATCTCCATGTGTGTGTGAGGGAACCAGAGAACGAACAGACTTCTCAGTGTTTTATTAGAGCTAAATTTTAGAAGCGTGTTGTTGGCATGTTCCCTCTTTCCCTTGGTAGGAAAAATCGGGGGGAAAAGCTAAGTGAAACATTTTTCATGCTCGCATTTTGGCAAGATTGCCTGAGAAGGAAAAAAAAAGGAGCGAGACGTGTATACCCCAATCAGATCAGTCACTAAAATTGCATCTAGAAAGCTTTTCCAATAACAGCTTGATATTAGGACTTCAGCGTGGTGTTGATGTATGTTATCAGCGGAGAAAATCTGTTAAGTCTGTGCCATGTGATGCCAACAGTCTTAAATATTGTTTTCACAACTGTGCAAGCTAATTACCTTTAATTTTTCATCTGTGCTCCAAGGGTTGTAAGAGATTGTGATTAGTGATTCATTACTTCTCATTACCTGGCCTGTCAAACTGTTTCCTTTACTTATTCAAGCTGATTAGCTGTACATGGCCCGCCTCTCTCAATGAGGCTGAGAAAGAGACCTCAAATATGATCTGCAGATCGGCAACAGCAACTAGTAGTAATAAAAGGATGGATAATAACAGGAAATGTTGGTGATCGCTTTCATTGTGGGAAAAGAGAAGAAGAAGAAGCTGTTAGATGTGTTTAACCCAGTTTAACGTGTTTAAATGTTGCACTTTCAGACCAAAACACTTGGCGTAAAAATGGCTCGATTCCGACTTCAGGTTGTAAAGATAAACCCCGCGTCGACAGTCAGCGGGATGACATCTCTTCCTTTTCTCCAGAGAACGGTTATTTATAGGCGTCAGAGAATGAGGATTGATTTACTGCACGTAAACAGGATGTCATTCTCAGCAAAAGGTCAAGGTGAGCCAAAGCTTAGGCAAATAAAAATACAAGAATTTGGCATCTCTGCATTCTACTTGTCTGTCAAGCCAATCATATGCACACAGCCTTCTCAGATCAAGTGACAGCACGGTCTAAAATTGAGTCCAAATGTAAATCAGCACTAAAAAAAACACGCAGGCCTTCCTAAGCACAAAAATCCTGAGCGTGCTAGTGACAACGGTAGTGTGACATTAACTAAAACATTCATCACCATTAAGAGTAATTAACAAACTTCTTCAGCATTAATTAAAGTCCCTGCTTTAAGGGAAACTGCGCCTAATTAGGAGCTTTGACAGGATGAGGCTTTAGGGATGAACCATATCCAGAGGGCTGTTGGAGGGGTGCAAGCTAGTGAATTTTCTAGAGTTTTCCTCCTCTTGTCACAAAACTCTGTGCCCTTGGTCAACTCAAAAGATGGTCTGGCCTAGCTTGGCGCAGCCTTGAAAAAATATTGACAGGTATGACAGGCCTCCGATTAGCCAGTCAGCTGGAGGCCCAGACCTTGTCACCTGTCAGGTAGAGACATGAAGGGTGAATGAGCAGAGGAGGTGGAGGAGGATGGTGCAGAGACAAACTTGGAGAAAAAAGAACTGGTGACATTCGGAGTTAACTGGGTACACACACGTGCGAGAGGCAGCTGTGACAAAAAAAAACCAACAACACATGTATATGGCGCCCGAGTCACCTGCAGAAGTGTTTGTGAAGCACTCCATTACAAAAACCAGAGGGTTTGAGGATGACAAATGTGTACCCAAAGAATCTGTGATTGGATCGGGGATTAAGGGGCTGCCATGTCTCTGATGGGAAACAGGCAGGAGACAGACAGACAGAGAGTGGAAGAAAGAGAAGGAGATGGAAGGAAAAGAAGGGTGGAAGGAGGACAGTAAACGAATGTCAGACTGCCCAGGCAGGGAGACAGAGTGGCAGAGTGGGTGGGCTTTGACAGACACATCTCACACAGGCTGACAGCTCCGTCAATAGCCCCAGGATGGCCGCCCTGATTGACAGCTAGCAGGTGGCGCATGAATGGAGTTGTCAGGCCGACTGTCAGTCAAAGTCACATCGCTGTGGCTACGAGGCCCCGGCTGAACAGGCACACAGCTGCCCAAGGTGATCTCTGGGTATACAGGCGGACTTTTGGCACGGGAGGCTGAGGCAGCTCGGATCACGCTAAAATCACCACACATGGCCATAGCAGCGCACAATAGCTCAGCTGATCGTGCCTGTGTTCCACTAGTGGATAGATCTGGTATATACACACATGATTGGTTTGACTGGATTGAAAAAAGTAGGGGGGGGAAAAAATCATTTGAATGTACTATCGATGAATCTCTGCAGTTTTTCCATTTCTTTGGTTCCCCTTAATTGAGCATTGTTCCAGCACGAGGGCATGAAGCATAGGAGTTAATGGGCAATAATTATATGTGAGAGAGGCTTTCTCCCTGGAGTGGAATCCAGAACAAATGGAAGCTCCGATGTGCAACATTCTACTTCATTACATCTGCCGCGATTAAAGCCTGAACATCTGGCACCATATCCTGACAGATAGACAAGACTTCTGGACTGGAAGGGAAATCGAGCGATATTTACAAAAATGTAACACAGGGTATTTACTGGATGAAAGAACAAGTGCTTTGGGCAGGCACGGTACACTCTCCCTATCAGACAAGTGCTGGACTGATAGATGCATGTAAACACAAGTAAATCGTTTGGACACTTTAGACAAAATGAACGACACTAAGTACCCCAGCTACACATTCACATCACAATGGACTTTATTATTATAGGCAGCTTCTTTTGCTACAGATAAATACATACTGTGGCTCTTCAAGTAAACACTGGAATGTACATCAAGGTTGGCTGTTAACTTCTTTTTTAACAATCTCCATCATCCTAATCCTTTTGAGGTGAAGCTAAAACAAGAACCATAACTGTCTGTATGTGCTGTTAATACGATAACATCAAGTCCCGCAGAGGGACGTCACGCCGATCTGGTCTCTCTCTGGCGCACGGTTGTCTCCCGTGATGCTCAGAGGCAGTCTGGAGGGCATCTGGGGTGTGTGCGAACGTCGAAGGCGGCGGTCAGGGTAGAGACTGTTGTCAAACGGCTTGCGGTGCACACAAAGGACGTGAGTCTTCAGGTTGCCCTTCTGGGAGGCGCTGTAGGGGCAGTAACGGCACTGGAAAGGCTTCCGAGCTGGAAACGAATACACGGGAATGGGGTGGCGGTTAATGTTTGCAACAAGTAAATAATCACAATCCCACCGGGCAGTTTTTGAGATTATAATGCATCAGGTTTGTGCATGCTGAACACAACACAGTCAGCCAATAAAATCAAATAAAAAGCCTCACTGTGTGACGCAGAATAAACCTCTGCTAAAACAGAATAATGCTGATTTCTGTGAAGAATGCATGTGGTATGTTTTTAGTTCTGGATAGCAAACATTAGTCTTGGCAGGTCATTTTTCCAGTGCTCTGCAACAGATGTGTCCAGGTGAGATGTGAGAGAAATGTTAATATTTGTTATTGTGCGCTGAAGCTGCTGTCGGCTTGCAGATTGTTGATTTTCTGATCACTTTGGCACTTAGCCTTCATCCTGTGACACCTAACGGGCTGACGGGTTTTTCTAAAAAGGCATGCAAGTTCATGCTCATTATTACACACTTCCTGCTCACAACTCACACATGCACGCACACACACACACACAAATAAATAAACACGCACACAAGCGTTGAGCTGAGGAATGACAGATGTCTGCAGCTGGGAGGCGAGGCATGCCAAAACGTCCTGTCTGTCCACCTCCTTCGTGCCCGCTGCATAGTTTCTCCATAAACAATGTGAACATACATGACCCAGCACACAATGTACCCTTAAGATACAAACAACAAAGCTTAACACTAGTAGCTTCCAGATGTTTATCTAACCTCAATAAAAACTCAGTATGATACCAAAGCCTTCGGGCTTGCTAAGATCAAAGCAAAAGTGACTCATTTACCTCTCTACCTAGACAGCCATGTGTCCTTGTTCACCGCTGTGCTATTTTTGAGATGTTACCTCATATAATGACTTTCTCTTTTCCCCTCTGTCTAACACTTCAATGTGTTTTTCTGTGATTCATGGTTACAGTAAACCATTATGTGCTGATGTCATTTGACATCACTTCCCAAAAAGTGAGGGCTGTCTCAGCCTTTTCACCCCGCCCTCGCCTCTTCCACTCGATCATGCTCCTCATCAGAGCTGAGACAGCTGTACACAGCTCAACGCTCGCTTTCACATCTACATAAAAAAGGTGTTTTTTGGAGGGAAAAGTGGGAAAACTCACAGAAGGTGTGAGCAATAAAAGGTAATGCTCCATCTGTTGCTGTATAATAACCTGATGGCCGTAAAGGACACACACACACACGCGCGCATTTACAAACTAGGCCTGACACATCTGAATATCATCAGGATAGCACAGAAGGGTCTATGTGTGTCTGTGTTTGTGTGTGTGTGAGAGACAGAACAACAGTAAAGATAAGCTTTGTCAGAGCCAGGTAGAGTGCAGTTTGTGGCGCGTCTTAAACTCTGCCTGCCTCACTTAAGCTTCCCTGGCTTCAGCCTGACGTGGAAAGACAGGAGAGGAGGTTGGATGCATAAAAATAAACACTCCTTGTTAAAACTTTAATGTCATTTTTCTGACTTCCGCTTCCTCAAATTTCACACGTTCCCTTGTAACTTGATAAACTCGACAGATTTTCCTCAATCTTATCAGATCCTTGTAAATGCACTCAGGCGCTGTGAACGATCCTGTAGCCTATTACACTTTCATAAAGTCGGTTAATAACAAGCCAAAAGGTCTTGGGCCTACATTAGTCGCTCGGTGCCCAGCGTGTCTCCCCCTCCTCTGCCTCTGTTGCCTTGCTTTCTGTCCCTCCTCGTCTTCCTCAGTCTGCTGTTCTCTTAGTCCTCCCACCAGAGGAGAGGGGAGGTCCAACAGAGGGCAACCTCCAAATAAGTTCCATTAATCACAGGCCAGAGTCTAATGTAACTAATATTTTACAATTAGAGGAGACAGCAGTGGGCTCTTAGCCATCCATCTCGCCGCCATATGATCCTCCATTCACAGGCTACTCAAGCCACAGCTTCAGACCAGCCATTCACTCAAAGAAATACACTCACACACACACACACACGTACCCCTATACATATATAACAATGCATGAAGAGACTCAACAGGAAATGAGAAGGGTGGGATTGTGTGGTGTTGAAAGAAAGAGTGGAACTCTGCCAGCAGTAGAAAAACAGAGTGATTACTGACTTTGAATCTGCAGAACGTTGACACTGAACTTAAAGGATAATCTCAGTTTCTTGCAATTTATTTTCACAGTTGCGGCCAAAAGGAGCAGGACAATACAGCACAATCTTTCATGAATAAGTCAGATTATAAACAAACCAACAGTTTAACCGCATATTCAAAACGACTTTATTCAAAAGATAAACTGAAAGTGAGTGAAGTTGAAATCACAGCACAAAAAGAAAAAAATAATCTGTCACGAGTATGTTCGGTTAGAGATGAACCAGAAGGCAAGTTTAGAATTTCTTCAAATGGATGTGTTGCACCTCACATTTTATATTTCAAAGAAAAGGGGAAAACTTGGGGATTTGTTTTAAAGTTCGTCACCCGACTCTGGCGTGTATTCCCAAATTTCTGCATGTTGAATGAGCCTTTTACTAATTCAAAAATCAAGATATTGCATCCAGAGCCAGCCTACCACTCAAAAGATTAAATATAATCCTTTCATCTAACTTGTTTCCCCTCTTTTCATTCCTTTAACTAGTTATTTTTTTAAATAGGGCTAAAACCTCTGTGTACAGACTAAAATGTGTCAACCTTGGCTCATTTTTTAACAGTAAACTAAGCAAAATTTTATATATTATTTAGTAGATTTTTACTTATTTGAGTCTTTCAGTTGTAATTTTTCTTATCATCATTCTATATATCAAAACAGTAGGTTTATATGTGGTTATATTGTCTATTATGGGAAGCATAGTTTTATATATTTTTTTGTTTTTGTTGCTATTGGGCAGGGACTAGTACTAGAAAAGCATATCCTGCCTTGCCTTTGCATATTTGCTTGAGATTGTACACATGTATGCTCACACCTGCATGCATGCAATGATGCGTTTGTGTGTGTGTGTGTGCAGCGAGAGTGTGTTGTGTGTCACAGGCTGAGATAATGACCATGATGACAGTGGCGGGGCCGACGGGGGCCAGAAGAGCTGAATGGTGACGGATGACACAGGCCTGAGCTCTGATGGCACACAGACAGTGAGTGATGACTGCACATCCTTCCCAGTGCTCCACCCTTCATTATCTCTATGGGGAGAAGCACGGCACAAAGGCAGGCCGCGCTGCCCTCTCGCTGCCCTCAAACGACATCTGCTCATAGAGACAGCCGCACTACCGCTCCTCTTTCACCTCGCTGTCGCTCCATCTATCTCCATCTATGGTGATCTTTCTCGCTCCTTTTCTCTCTCCTTTTCTCCCGCTCTCTGTCACCCTCTCCGCGGAGGGTATACAGAGGTCAGACAATGAGATAATGACTCACCCCTTTCAACCTTTCAAATCAGGGCCTTTTCTTTCTCTCTGTCCTCCACGTTCTTTCATTCTTAATCCTTTCTTTATCGATCTTCTCATATTCACTTGTTCTCATGAGTCCGAGGCCTGATCCGACATCACCGAAGGAACAGTTGACACGGTTAACTGGTTAACTCTTTTTAAAGTTGCCCCAAGGCATCCGTTTTGCAACGTGACAGCATTCTCAGAAGTAGTTGTCCTAATTGTGCCTCTGAAATATGGATGCATGTCACACTACTTGGGAGTGAGATATTTACCGCAGCCTCAGCTGTTAGAGTGGTAAATGTCGCCATCTAGTGGTCGAGCCCGAGCAGCGCAGCGGTAAGAGAGTGTTTAAAACACAAGGGAGGGCTCAGTGAGACTAATGAGCATGCAGACAGGTTCAACCAGAGGTCACCATCTGGCCAATTACCACTGCTGGCACATTGGAGCCGACCTGAACTGTCATCACAAACACATCACTCCATGTCCAAACTGCCCAGCAATATGTCACCATGCCACTCGACGTGCCATACAGTATGGAGAGGATGGGGTCAACAGAAGACAGCCCCATGACAAAGCCACCTGGTCAGCGCTGCAGACAGGACAGACTGCTAGGCCACCTGCTTAGCTCAGTTTTAGAGGACACTCAACGGACTCTCAATGTCAGCCCCGCATCTCGCTGTCCAGTTTGACTGACAGGTGTTTATTGTGCCTTTGAAATCAACTTCCTGAGAGAGAAAACGCCGAGGATCAATCTGCAGTGAACAAAAGGCAAGCGACGCTTGAAATAGCTCCTTGCATTGATCCGATTGCTGAAAAGTGCAGGCCACGGTTACGGTACGGCGTGCTGCATGTGAGGGATAAACTGTTTGATGTCGTTTTTTTCTGCTTTTCGGAGGAAAGTTGTTTTTTTTTTAAATCAATGTTTTTTAAAATCCAAATGGCATTATACATAATAAAAGCAAGAAAGAAACATGAACAGTGTGACGCCTATGACAGGAGGTGAAGGGGAGGGGTGCTTCTCGGCATATTATAATAACCATCTGTACAATCAAATAGAAAACTACATCTTGCTGTTGGAATCATAAAGAAAGGGAACAGATGTTAATCCCTAATGGAGTTGACAGGCACTTTCCTGTCTTTCACATGAACATATTGAGTTTCTGAATAAGAGGGGGATCAGAGGGAAGGTGTATCATGTTGCACTCATAATACATGCATATCAAAGACCCCAGCTGTTGGATTCCCTCTCCTGAGAGACAGCATTATTAAATCTGCACTCAGCAAGCATATCACACCAGCACGAGAGCTTAAGCCTCTCCATCAGTGGGCTCCATTGGCTTGGCGATTTGTAACCTATCACACTAGGAGATTATATCGCCCTTTAAAGTGTAGGGGTAATCAGCGCCACACACCTGTGTCTTCTTTAGCCCTTGTTTGAGATCAGATATAAGATCTGCAAGAAAAAACTCAAGTGCTATAAGTATAAGAGAAGTGTGCTGTTCATAATTGGTGTGATTCAGTCACACACTCACACTCGATCTTCACACTTCTGCTGTCAGGTGACGAGGGCTGAGATACTGCCAAAACTTTCTTTTGATGTTCTGCAGCAGGATCCTCACGCCAGACAATGTATAAAAGTTTGAGCTCGCACTCTGGTTGGACAGTTATATATAGAGCTTAGTCAAAAAATAATAATCATGCTCTGTTCTCACTCGCAGCAGTTTATCACATGCACAGAAATAATGTGGTTCGAAGCATAGCTGCTGTTTGACCACTAGGTGGCAATATTTGCCTTCGAATCTGGAGACAGCTCTGGCTACATCTTGATAACAGTGACAGCTGCATTTAGTGTATGTGATATATAAGCTCGTGCTCACCTGATGAAATATCTTTCTCCATGTTCCCCCCGCCGTTCAGACCGACTTTGTTGGCGCTAGCAGGTGTGCTGTTGAGGCTCCCCTGGGATCTGAGGAAGGAGAGCAGGCCGCCCTGGTGCTGAAGTGGATCCGACTGTCCTGGAGTTAAGCTCTCCAGAGAGGAAATGGGAGATTCAGCCACAGCTCTGACCCATTGTCCTAGCTTGTCTTGCTTCTTTTCACCAGCACCCTCAAAATCAGCGCTGGCCTGTCCCGCCTCTTTTGACTCAAGGACATTATTTTTCAGTATTTTCCACTTGGCAGCGTTGTCATTTTTGTCCTCCCTCCCTTGGTCAGATTTCTCAAATTCACCTTCACCATCGTGAACTGTAGAGCCTGCGTTCTGTGCGTTCATCTCCTCCTTGGCTCCGTGCACCAAGAGGTCAGGCTGAAATGTGGGTTTCACACTGAGTTCAGCTGGTGCGTTCGAGTAACTTTGTCGCTGGCGGGTAATGGAGGAGGACAGTCCATTACTAAAAACGCTGGACATCTGTACCAGCACAGCAGGAGACACGGCCGAATGAGATGCGACGGTGTCCGGCCTGACAGACAAATCCAAAGGCTCATACTGGGACTTCCGATTTTGAGCAGACAAAGAGCCGTCTAGACCCGCGTCTCGGTCAGCGAGCTCGGACTGCTTGTTAACGAGCGAGGAATTTTCGCTGTGGCTCTCCAGACCGAGGTACGGCCCCGCAGCCGGGCTCCAGTCCTCCCTGGATCTGGGTCGGAGCTTGGAGCTGGGGTTAGGGCTGGAGCTGCTGCTGCTGCTAGGCTGCAGAGGAGAAGAAAGATCCCCGTTGTTCTGCCAGTTGGTGAAGTGGTACTGATCCAGATGGAAGCCGAGGGAGGCTGTCTGTGCAGAGGTGTAGTCATTTGAAGGTGGACACCTGTAGACTTTCTCACCTAACAGCAACAGATGACAAGCAAAAATATAAGACAAACTTAATCAAATTAGGAAAGCATGTGTGTATGAGACATACTGAGCATTTGGTTCTGAGCGTGTACCAACAACAGTTGTCTAAACATGAAAAATGTTGCAATCCCACACCAGGCTGAGTTGAATGATTTAAGTGCTGCCCTGCAGTAAATCAAGCTTGTAATCAGCTTTCAGCTCCAGTGATCCATCATTTTACAGTATGGACGCCACCACCATGTGCAATAAATACACCCAAAGACGTTAACACCAAACAAGATTCTTCCAGAAATAATAAACAGTGAGATTGTAAAGCAACTAGAACAAGGCAGATGTTGCAGACAAGAACCTCATTCCATCAAAACCAGTAAGTGGGTTCCCCAGTCAGAAATAACGAAGTCCAACATGTGAGCAGTTCTGATTAACCACACCATGTACTGTAGCTGAGTTTATTTTTGCTTCACACTTGAAAAATGGAGCGTTGGAAACATAATTCAAACAGTACAAAGTGTATTATTGTGGAGAATGACAAAGGGTGATTTTTCTCCTTTTAGCCAGTGAATAATATCCATCTGGATGCAAGATTTGATCTTGCACACCATAACTTTTAATTAAAGGTAATTTAAATGTCTTCTTCCCTCTGTTTACCTTCGGTTTAATCCTTATAGCTATCACAGAAACACCCTTCAGGGTTAAACACACTCCCTGTGACCATTTTGAGTTAGTGATTGTCTGAGACCTCTGCCTTGCACTGTCTTTAAACAGCCCAGCTGTTTCGCTGCCATTCCAATTACAGTAAAAGTCATCCGATGCCATTAAGCCACAAATATTGGCAGTTTATTGCCCAACACTCTCCTGGCATTTGAAGGTCAGGTCATACATTATACTGTGTCTTTTAGGGATGTGTCTGGGATAGGGAGATAAACCCACCACCATTAATTTAATTCTATGCATATTGATGCCTTATTGTTCTTCTTTAATGGACTAATATCTGAGTTACAACAGTGATTCATCCCCCGCCAGAGAAATATCAATTTCATACACCTCGAGATCTGACCCTGAGGTAATTCTCTGAGGTAAATCTAAATCTAATGATCTGTAGTAGTTACTTTACTTTGTTTCCAACTTTAATAGAAAACCTGCATTATGAGCTGAATCGTAGTAAAGAGAGGGCTGTTTTTTTACTATTACAATTTACAAAACCGTAAAATAACACCCACGTATTAATTAAATAGAGCTCCAGCAAATGAAATTGAAAAGTCACAGCTGAAATGGGGAATTCGTGTCCTTGAACTGAAGTCTTCTCCTTTTGTTTGCACTGCACTCTGAGTGTTTATGTGCGAGCGTGCTCGTGTGGAGCATGTTTGATTTAAAGTCTACGTAAGATTACATGTGTGCGGGGTGTGCAAGAGCGGGAAAGAGACTTCAACAGTGCCACACCCTTGTCTCCAGTAACAGACCAAAAAAAAAAGAGAGAGAGAGAAAAGATCCAAACAGCTTAATGGAACTCTTTCAGACACACTATATATCTCAATTATTCTGTGGCTTAAATTACGATGACATTACCGGTCAGCTCCAAATGCAGAAAACACATATATCTGACCTCATCTTTCAGTGCGGACCTTCCTAAACCCATTTGCCAGCCTTCATGAAAGCGGTTAAAAACAACACAAAGACTGAAGACTCTGCCTTTTTTTTTTTCCTCTTCCTTTGGATGGGTGCCATCTTTGTGATTGCCTGGTTCATGCTAACTTAATCAGTTTAAGATTTACTTACAGTGCAGAGGCGCACATTATGTGAGGGGAGTAATTTTAGAGCTTAGATTTATCAACCAAAACTCCAATTACTGCATCATTACAAACCCCAGCCTCTCTCACCTAACACAGAGCATCTAATGAAGTGATGCGTATGAGTTATCCGCCCTTACTGAATGTGCAAGGCGGAGGAAAAAAGGTAAATAAATAAAGAAATGCCTCAAGTGAGCCGTGTCTATGGAAAAAGCGTGCAGCTGGGCTCGGACGAGTGATTCATTTCATATGGAAATGGGCTTTAAAATTTACGTCCATATATCACCGTCAATGCAATCACGTACTCACACACTATATGCTTACACGTGCATTTGGCAGTTATATTGTAGGTATCAAACTCTGCATGCGGCGGGGCTTTGCCTCTTTCTGTACATATGTAATCAAGCAACTGAAATGCAAAACAGAGATACATAGTGGCTGGTTTGGTTTAAGATGAAACAGTGAGAGTGAGAGTCACACACAAGACTGGTGAGAAAAACAGGGGCACCAGATGTTCTTTGATGTTTATAATAGCATATATTATTAATATTAATTAGACCACATAGTCAATGACGCATTTGGGACGTTTCCAAGTCAATTAAGCCAAATGGCATTCAGGAGACGGTGGAACAATATTTCAAGGCAGGTGTTCAGAACTCCCTGGGTAAATCTTTTTATCTGCATGCTAGGAAAACAAGCATTTTGAGCTTAATTTGAGCCTCATATCTGCAATAATAATTAAAAAGAGGATTAAAAGACAGAAGTGAGAGGGAAACGGCAAAGCCAACAGGTAATCAGTTTAGACAAACCAGTCAGACTGACTCTGATCTGTGAATAAGAGCTGAATTTGTAAAGCTATGACAGAGTTAGATAAGGACCTATTTAGTAAAAAGATGCTTTTTTTTTTTTGCTTTCAACAATCACAAAGAATAGACGGATGGAAGTGGAACAGCCAAAGGAAAAGTGATATTCTGCACAGCAGCCTGCTTTATCTGTGTTTCTGGGTAAACCGCTGCTCATGTTACCATTCACAGTTTTATAGACGCTTATCACTTCAGGCTCTCTTGGCTGTAACACTTACAGTAAAAGTAGCATGAAAGCAGGGAACACATGTGGGGACAACATCGTTACATGGTGCCTGCTCGCCGACCTTGAGGTTAAGAGTATTGAATGGGACTAATTAATAACTGTCAGCGCGTTTTTAGCAGTTTGTGTTTTCTTCATTCAGACGTGGGATCTAGCCGGTCCAATGTAGGTCAGAGGCCTGCAGCGTGGACTCTTTGTGAGTTTTAAGAAGAGTCGTTATTCTTAATCTCAACTTATAATTAAAGTTAAAGCGCATTTTGAAATCTGTCCTGATTAGATATTGAAAGAAGCGATTCGTAACACGCCTCCTATTCAAATCAAAGTCCGATTTCTCATTTACGACGCTGCGTGTTTGTAGTTAAAAATCTAAATCGGGCTGCTGTAAGAACCTGTCTCCCACTCTGACAGCCATGACTGTACTATATTTGCCATCCATATTGGGTACATCAATAACTTCATGACCACCATAGGCTGACTATGAATAATGTAGCCTGTAATTCTGGACTAATCAATGTTCCTCAAGCCGAACATCTGGCAGTGGTAATTCTTCCTCAGCATCTCCGCTCTCCTGAATTAGAAAACACTCGCTCTCTCACTCTCCCTGCCTCCGTGTCCAAGCATCGAGACAGACAGACTTGATCAGTTACAACCCCCCACCTCCGAAAAAACTTATCCCTGTTATTAAACCCTCATCAAGTGGTGCGTGTTCTCCATATGTGTAGGATTTACCTATCTGTCCCGCAGCAGACCTGTGCGTTGAGCCAGGGCCAGCAGCGTGTGATTGTGTTAATTAATCTGTCATTGTGAGCACAGGGAGCAGCTGCAGAGGTCTCTGGGATATATTGTCAGAGCTAAACAATGCGGTGCTAAGCCCCCAGAGTGAGTCTACCATTACACAGGACTAAGAACAGAGAGGAGAGGAGGAGAGGGGGAGAGAGAGCCTGCCGGATCCATCATTGACTAAAGCAATGACGCCTGACCTTTACAATGAATTAGTTTCCATGCTTAATATTGACTGAAATTAGAGTCTGATACTGAATGTGCCATCCCAGAACTGTGCACGCTCAAATCCTCAGCTAGCCAACTATCGTAAATGTTTCTGGAAGTGACACCGTATGGTCTCGGAGATAGGGGAGAAGAGGGAAAGTAGAAACAACAGAGCTTGAATATGTTTCTTAAAGAGCAACCAGAGAGGGATTTGGCTGTAAACTGTGAGCATTTACATGTAAATATGCAGATGCCAGTATGTGTGTACAATATGGAAACAAAACATCTAATGAGATTAGACCTGATCCATTTATCTCTGCTCTACGGCCATCATTTAAGAGGATACTGGCCCAAATCCCACAGGAGCGCAGCAGACTTAGATGCACATAAGTAGTTCTCTAACACTGGAAGAAAATAACCGTAAGCGTAAGCTGTGAGGAGAGCGAACAAAGTTTGGATTTATCTTTTCTTCTCGTCTCTTAATAACGCCGTTACAGCAGTAATTTAGACTCATGATAACATGTTAGCAGGATGCCATGATAAAGAAGGCATTTACCCATAGAGCCGAATCATCTAAATCACCAGGTGGAACAGAAGACTATCAATAAAAATACCAGGTGGTAGATCAAATCATAAAAATCACTGGGTGGTATATATCAAATCATTAAAAACACCAGATGGCATGCATTAACATCTTGTGCCCCTGTAGGCAAGGGGTGGGGATGTGACGGATATAAAATAGAGGGTACTAATTATCCCTACAATTCACCATGATGCCATTATCTTTAAAAGGAAGACAAAGTCCTTGTGGATGATAATATCTGTAGCTGCGTTGCTGACCCTGTGCTTGCTTCAAATCCACCTACGCAAATATGATGACACGTGTTTTACATGCACTTGATCATTTCTGACAAAAAGGGGGAAAAAAATATGACAATAATAAGATGCTTTTATGTCAAATATTTTGAGATTAGTTCATAGATGGAAACATCAGGGTCTAATTCCTAATGATTGATTAAAACGTTATCTAGAGGCTGAGAAGTACTCCGAATCTTTTACTCTGAAAACTTCCTGCACTGGATTACCTGTAGCTGGAGAAGAAGATTGCGGTCGATGGTCCACAGCGCTGCCAGAGTTCCCCGTCTCGGTGATCATCTCTGCTGGCCCATGATGGCTCACGCTGCCGGGGCTCCCAGGTCTGCTTATAGTTTTGGTGTCTGGGTCACCAAAGCACAGTTTCCCATCATCTAGAGGGAGACATCTCTCTAGATAGGAGGAGCACTGCTGCTGCTGCTGCTGCTGCTGCTGCTGCTGCTGCTGGTCTTTAGGGCTGAACATTTGCTGTTCAATAGGTAACCCTGGTGTTATGATCTGCCAACCCGCATAGCTGCTGCTGTTGGTGAGAGCATCTCTGGCAGCAATTACTTTCTGCAGATATTCCATGCTAGAGGAACTCAGCGGAGGGTGGAGATGATTTAGACTCATCGAAGAAGAGCTCTCTGCATCTGTCACCGCACCAGGCCCCGAGGAAATCATCCGCCCCAACATCTCTCTGACCTTCATGTCAACACCTGCTGCAGCTATCATCTGGTTGTAATCTGGGTGGTCCACTCTCTCAGCTGTAAGGAACCTGTTGTGAATGCGGGAGATGTACTGGGAGTAGAGGTTGCTCTGGTGCTCCGATGGCGTCAGGTTACTCATTTCTGCAGAGGAATCGCGCTCCGGGGCGAGATTGGTCTTAGCAGCGAGCTTATTAAGGTGCACCTTCATGTGGTTCTTCAAAAACCAGGGTTCCTTGAAGCGACGGCCACAGATTTGGCAGCAGTGCTCAAAAGAATCCTTGTGTTTCCTCATGTGGCCTTTTAGAAACCAGGCCTGGCTGAAGGTCTGGCCGCACACCTCGCAGGGGAATTCACCGACAGGCTTTCCCTGATCACCAGCCCCAGTCGCGGGCTTTTGCCCTGAGCCCGAATCGGCTGTGATATGTGTCATTTCAACATGGCTGATGAGCTCCTCCTCGTGTGAGGCAGCAAACTCACACAGAGTACATTTGTAGGGCTTGTGGAGGATTCTGATGTGGCGCTCGAGCTCTTGCTGCTTCCTGAACTTTCCCTTACAGAAAGAGCAGCGGAAGCCAGTGGTTTGGGGCTGGATGGCCTCGTCGTGAATTGTAGTCAACTTGGGAGAGGTGGAGCCACACGGCTGGCTGTCTGCTGCGCTAGAGTTGCTTAACAGCAGAGGCTGTGTCGGAAAAGTCTGCGGTAGAGGCTTTTGATGGTGGTTTATATTCGCTGCTTGCGGTTGGCTAACGTGACTGGCTCTCATCTGCCTGTCTCTTAGTATCGCCCTTTCCTCGAGCTCGTGAAGCAACCTGTTCTCCTCCCTAATCCTCCCACGGCCTTTGCCCAGAATGCCTTGCTTGTGTGTGCGGAGGTGTATCTTCAGGTTGCCCTTCTGTGCAGCCCTGTGGTCGCAGTACGGGCACTTGAAAGGCTTCTCACCTGTATGAGTGCGCATGTGAAGGGAAAGGATGCTGTTGAAGCGGAAACGCTTTCCACATAACGGGCAGGGATACTTCCTATTTTTGCGGTTATCATCTTGGGAAGAATTAACCTGAGAGACAATGCTTTGATTGGTGACTCTCAGGAACTGGGACAGCTCTACTCTCCCATTCATGCTGCTGAGAATTCGTGCATCCATGATTTGGTTGGCCAGAAGTGCCATCTGGCTCCTAATTGGGTGGGTAGACGGGGTAATGAAGCTGTCCTTTCGGGGACTGGGTGATGTTACAGTATGGTGGTCAGGGGTGTCTAACTGGGACAGTCTGAAGGTTAGTAAAATGAAGTGTTTGCACTTATTTAGCTGAAACAGGATGTGGATTCATGCTGTTTAGATGGCGTGCCTGTTTCCTGTTTGTCTGACCTAAAGAGAAAAACAAAAGGTGCAATAAGTTATTTCAAAATCTGCTGCAGGAAATGTATTATTAAAAAAAATTAGAAGCAATAAGAAGAGCAACTAAGTAAGGAAAAAAACAAAGCTAAATAAATATGGCCATGTGTTGTCAACGAGGTGTAAATCTGTACTTTTGCAACTGCTGTATAATGCCAGTTATGCACCACAAATAGGTCAGGAAATAGTGCAAAGTAGGTTCTGACTCTCCTCATCCTGTCTTAAGTATACCTGTGGTTTTACATTATTGTTGGAGACTGCGAAAATGCTGATTATGTAAAACCACAAAGGCTTCCTCAACAAATATCTCATCTTTACTAAAGGGTAAGCTGAAAATCTTTGTCTAGATCTCATTTTGTTAGTGACACACAATACTAAGGCAGCAGAAAACATCAAAGCCTATCTGCTTCTACTTGCCCTTCCTTCGCATTTCACAAATCTTTGAAATGCTTTAAAGAGAAGATTAAAGTAAATAGTTAAGCTTTTTCAGCAGGTCTGCTGCATATTTGAATAAAACCGTTACTAGGATAATTATGTCACAGGAGTACTGAGGAAAATAAACAACTTAATGATGGATGCAAAAAAATTTCAACTAAAGTTAAAGGAAGCATATCTGAATAAAAAGCCTGCCCTTCCCGGCTCCCCCTTTTTTATTCGACTGTAGCAGCAAAACAAAGCTTCAAATTCACATCATGCTACAATGGTAGAGGTCACACAGGCGAGCCCTGCGCAGCTCCAGTGCAGCACCAAAGGGCACAGAACAAAGCCTGCACTGTCCACACTGAATTAACACAGGCTTACATCATCCTGGACTGCAACCTCAGTCAGTCACGAAAAATGATGTACACAAAACCACACAGATAAAGAGTTGGCAGGCAGGGAGCGACGGTTCGTGTGACTGGCGTGTCCGCTCTAAGATGTAGATTAGAAATCAATGTGACCATTATGGCGCTGACTTAATCATATCTGACAAGAAAAGGTCTGTAAATTATATCTTTATATCATAGATCCACTTTACAGCTCCTGACCCGATATTCCTGAACAGCCTTTCCACAAAAGAAAGCAAATGGGAGGTTAGCCCCACTTCCCACGCATTTTCAAGAATGGCCGTCAGTTAGACCGAGCTCGCATTTGCCTTAATTAATGTCATTACTGTGCAGTTGCTCTTATTGTACGGTGTAGCCAATATAAAGTCTGCAACCAATCAATAACGATCGATTGAACTTAACTCTAAATAGCTCTGTCTCTGCAACATCTTCTGAAATCACTTTGACGATGGTTTAGTGCACAAGTGCATGCCTTCTTTCCTAAACACTGCACATGTGTACTAGCTCTGGGTTACATTTAGCCTTTTGAAGAGAGATTGAGCTAAACAAGAGAGCAATAAGAACAATCTGGCACGACACAATCTAGCTGTCATACTCCGGCACAGTAAATCTTACCTGGCACCAAAATGAAAACGCTAACTTTCATGTAAATAACGGCCTTCCAAATCAAATCTGATTATGAGTATAACCCATAACAACATCAACCAAATGTTAGTTGATTAAAAAAATAGTCTTAGTCAGCAAAGCTTTGTTTGGTCAGTCACAGAAAACTCCAACAACCACAGGAAGTGGTGAAATTGCGTCAGACAGATAGACAGTGTCATTTACAAGAGCTGGTGTCTGCATTTGTTACAGTGCACATGTCAGGCAGGCAGGAAATCCAACGTGTGGGCTCATTTTGCGAAGGTAAAGGATGACGCCCGAGAGAGTGACAGGCAAACTCTGCTGGCAAATATTTTGCCCATCATTCATCCATCTCAAACTTGGCTTATCATCTAAAACGTGTAAGCAGCCGCTTAGCGTGGCTGTTCATTATTATGCTAGATTGACCTTGAGTTCTCATGTCTTGCAACAAATTTAAAATTAACATAATTAATGTTGTTCCTAGAGT